TTTTTGCCTTGTACATGTAAGTCAGGCTATTCAGGCTGTTTGCCATTGATATTGTACTGCTGTTACAACCGATTGAAAATATGTTATTTAATAAGACTTGAGCACTTAAGTATTACGTCTTGGCAGGAAACCTGGACAACTCAAGTCAGGAGAGAAAAATTTTAAGAAATTGGGCCATGCAAGCATTGAATGATACAGAAACTTTGGATTAATTAATTAATATGCTGGAGGATTTTCCCTAATACCCCATCCACTTCCATGGATTTCTTTCAGAAGGTCTAGAATCGTTCATTTTCATCCTTTATCAGAAGGCTAGAATCTTTCTAATATAGTGCAGTATATAGTAACAGTAATATACTAGTAGTGACACTCTCTAACTTAGTGGAAGATAGTTTGACAGAAACTAGACAGCTAGGAAAATGTTTTGACAGCCTCCCAACATCTGCTTGGAGACCAACATCTGCTTGGAGATTAGATAGAACCAACGTATTACAACATGGCGGGGATAGAACGAACAGCGTGTACAAGAAAGCCGGCCTTGAGCAGAGGACTGCACTTCAAGGTTATCATAATGCCACAAGATAGTAGTCATGAGGAAACGTCAGACATGAATTCTATCAAACAAAGTGTGAAACCCGGGTAAATTTGGCGTAACGCATCCAAGATGGCGGAGTGACAGTATACATGTATTGTTGTCAAGTTGCTGTTTAGAAATAGGTGCAAAAACATTCAAAAAATGGTTACATCTACAAAAACCCCATAGTATGGTGTGTAAAATGAATTGTTCTTTGTATCCATACATGTAATTGACAAGAGAATGAAACCTAAGAAGTAGAGAATCGAAATTCAGTTCAAAAACAAAATATTTTTCTTGTCTCTAAAAACGCGAGAATTTCAATAACTTGTGGCTCATTATTTTACTTTAAATCTACAAAAAATAAAACAGTCGGTTTTTGGTGTGTTAACACGCAGAAAAAGTCATAATTTGAAAAATTCCGCAAAAAGTTGAAACCCCCTTTCGAGTCTCTGAAGTTTGGCCATTCCCAAATGGCCCGAATCCGCGAGTGGGGTAAATCTCCTAACTGTTACAGGTGGTCCCGATTTCTCACTTCCGGGTTTGAACGGCCGAAATTAGGGTCTCTTGGGGGTTACCAATATTACTTGTTTAAAACACAAATGTTTATTTTTCTAGAAAGCGCTAAGTATTTTCAATAACTTTTCATCGGCTCTGTCATGCGTTTTAAATTGTCTACAAACCCCACCGAAAAGAAAAGCCGTACGTTGAAGTTTTTGTCGTATTTTTCGGTGAGTTCACGGTCTCCGAGTTTGCAGAATGCACATTTTTCTGGCGACTGAGAGTGCACGGCAATTCTCACAGTATAAACAGCTCGTATCGCGGAATACAACCAAAAAAAAAGAACCGGCATTGCCACATTTCTATGGAAAAATAGATAACTAACTCAACTTCATGATATAAACTTTCTATTGTCACATTTGACGGAATTGCGGAAGGTCTCCGGCGGGTTGAAAGGCCCCGCGCAGCCGGCGGTTGTTGGTAGCCGACCCGTAGTGCGAGGCCACCCGCGCCCGGCGCCCTGTACGGTCACCGGCACCCAGAATACACATATGCACTTTGATATCAGAAATTGTGAATAAAATTCCTCAAACCTGGATAGTAGTATATTGCGGGGGCAGGTCGATTTCTGGCGGCAATAGCCCGTCGAATCCAACTGGCCCATGTAGTAGTAGGCGGCCCCACAGGAGTACTGCACCGATGGCCGGCTGGATTTAACCCGGCGCTTATGTCGCTGGCAGGCCGAGTAGAAGCGGTGTCTAGGCCGCGGTACTGAGTGGCTTGGAAGGTTGCTGAATGTCATACCTCGTTTTCTGACAGACTTCATTACAAAAAGCATTTCCTAAAACACCAATATCGTGCTCTATGGTCGGCTAACTCCCCTGGTCAGTTACATTGTATGTCCCTACTGCCCCTCCCCCTACCATGAATTTCTTTTGGGCTACAATCTTTTATCGCCATCCTTTAATTTAGCTAGATTTAGCAAAAGAAATTGACAACCATACCCTTCTAGACAGAAATAAATAAGCTTTACACGTCAACGGCGCAGAAAAACGCACAAAAAGTGCCCTAATTGTGAGTGCCGCATCGTTTGAAATCCAAACCAGCTCCGTCCTTGGTCAAATTCTGTGTTTCTGACACGTTAAAATCGCCATGGATCAAAAGCGCCCTTCTAGCGGCGAAAGAAAATCACTGCAGTTCCATGAGCATCCCTGAACAGTGGTTGAGAGTTGCGCCATAGATCAAAAGCGCCCCAATGCATAGCGGCGAAAATAATCACTGCAGTACCAGAGCAGTGTACCAGCATGATAGGTGCAGTGATGTAAACCGACTGCTAGGGGTCGCTTTTGATCCATGTACTGCACCGCCATTATCTGTACCTTTACGCTGTAACGGTTAAACTTTGCTGCCTGGTATCCGGTCTTGTTGTGGATTGAACGGGCTATCTTTGAGGCTCTAGACGAGGAATTCTCCACCACCGGGCTTGACTTCGAACTCGGCAGGAGTTCTGCACGGTTGAGGTTGAACTCCCACCGCGGCAAATCCCACAACAGGTGGCCGACACTCCAACAGGTTGCCAAGCTGAAGACCGGCGGCGAAGAGCTTCTACCGCCCCGAGGATAGCCTGTCCGATCCACTGTAGACTGGGCTGGGTACCGTTCCAGTAACTTCGTAAGCTTGAAAGACACCAAGAAGGTAAAGAGAGGGATCCGTTGCAGAGCCTTCAGTCCAACTTTTTCATTTATCAGTTTGCAAGTTTATGGACGGTTCATGAATTTCTCGATCACGATAGCCGTACGAACGGGCCGCTACGATCGGCTACGGACACACTGTAGAATCGGCGCCGGCATTTGACCATGACTGAACGGCTCACAACATCGGTCGGCCTTGACTCAAGGTTTGAGTAGAGGAGCACACATCAGCCTAGAAGATACTGGTGTTTTAGAAAATTCGTTTCGTGGCGAAAGTCTGTCAGAAAAAGGAGTATGAAATTCAGCAACTTTAAGATTTAAGCCACTCAGTACCGCGGCCTTGACCGGCTTCTACTCGGCCTGCTAGCGACATTAGCGCCGTATAAAAATCCGGCAGGCCATCGGTGCAGGACTGCTGCGGGGCCGCAGATGCACGATCTCCATCGCCGTGGGCCGCGCTATTGCCGCTAGTGGGCCCAGCAGAAATCACCATGGCCCCGCAGTACTACTAGTACTATCCAGGTTTGGGGAATTTTATTCACTTATTCACATCTCTGACGGCGAAATTGTAAGTCTCGGCGCCGCTGAAAGTACGGGGAGCCGGGCGGCCTCTGCAGCAGGCCGGCTACCAACCGCCGGCCGCGCGGGGCCTTTCCGTCCGCTGGAGACACCCATCTTATCCCCCAACCTTCCCTTCATATGCGACAGTGGAAAGTTTATATCATATGAAATTGAGTTATTTTGATAGAAATGTGGCAAAACGGCTCAATTTTCTGTCGTATTCCGCGATACGAACTGCTATACTGCGAGAATACCCACTCCCAGTTGCCGCGGCTTCGCCGCACTGGTTTCTCAGAAAATTGTGCAATCTGCAAACTCGGAGACCGTGAACTCGACGAAAAATACGACAAAAACTTCAACATACGGCTTTTCTTTTCGGTGGGGATTGTAGACAATTTAAAACGTATGACAGAGCCGTTCAAAAGTTATTGAAAATACTTAGCGTTTTCTAGAAAAGCAAACATTTGTGTTTTAAACAAGTAATATTGGTAACCCCCCAGAGACCCTAATTTCGGCCGTTCAAACCCGGAAGTGAGAAATCGGGACCACCTGTAACAGTTAGGAGATTTAGCCCACTCGCGGATTCGGGCGATTTGGGAATGGCCAAACCTCGGAGACTCGAAAGGGGGTTTCAACTTTTTGCGGAATTTTTCACATTATGACTTTTTCTACGGGTTAACATGCCGAAAACTGACTGTTTTATTTTCTGTAGATTTAAAGTAAAATAATAAGCCACAAGTTATTGAAATTCTCGCGTTTTTAGAGACAAGAAAACTATTTTGTTGTTGAACTTATTTTCGTTTATTTACTTCTTAGGGTTAATTCTATTTGTCAAATACATGTATAAATACAAAGAATGACTCATTTTACACACCATACTGTAGAGTTTTTGTAGATGTAACCATTTTTAAATGTTTTGCACCTATTTGTAAACTGCAACCCGACAATAATACATATATACTGTCACTCCGCCATCTTTGATGCGTTACGCCAAATTTACTGCGGGTTTCACACTTTGTTTGACAGAATTCATGTCTGACGTTTCCTCGTGACCACTATCTTGTGGAATTATGGTAACTTTGAAGCGCACTCCTCTGCTAGCTCAAGGCCGACTTTCTTGTAAACGCTGTTCGTTCTATCCCCGCCATGTTTTAATACGTTGGTTCTATCTAATCTCCAAGCAGATGTTGGTCTCCAAGCAGATGTTGGGAGGCTAAGTCAAAACATTTTCCTAGCTGTCTAGTTTCTGTCACAAACTGTCTGAGAGTCTCACTATATTACTATTACTATATACTGCACAATTTTTATAAAAAAAGATTCTAGCCTTTTGAAAAAAGGATGAAAATGAAAGATTCTAGCCTTCTGAAAGAAATCCATGGAAGTGGATGGGGACAATTCTTCAGCATACATGTATTAATTAATCTATCCAAAGTTTCTGTATCATTCAATGCTTGCATTCTTAACATTGCATGGCACAATTTCTAAAACATTTTTCTCTCCTGACTTGAGCTGTTCACACAAGGTTTCCTGCCAAGAGGTAATACTAAGTGCTCAAGTCTTACAAAATAACTTATTTTCAATTGGCTGTAACCCCAGTACAATATCAATGGCAAACAGCCTGAATAGCCTGACTTACATGTACAAGGCAAAAACACATGATACAAACGATACAAGTGTGCTTTTTTCATCCTCATTTTATTTACCAAGTTCCATGTTACATGGCCTTACTGACATTGGTGCTTCATTTAATATACCATCAAGACTGGAAGAGTTAACAATGCCAGTGTGACCTATGACATGGCTTCCGCACATTCGGCAGTTTAGTATGGATCGTTTTGATGTGATGGTCTGTTTTTGAATGCTTCATTAAATTATTGGTACATCTATTGCTCTCATGTCTCAAGCCTGGTTGTATTGTCTTCAAGAGTTGATATGAAAATATGAAAAAGATTAATAAATTCAAAACAATGTTATATGACGCTGTCATATTTTCCTCTATACGGTTGGTAATTAAGCATGCAATAATCATACACCAGTGTCTAAATTATTACAATATCTTTTCATGATCCTCTTACATAACCACAAATTACTCAATTTAAGTCTGGACTGAACAAAAACCAGTCTCCTAACATATGTCTTAAGACCACCAAGAATACTTGTAGCCACCAGTAAAATACTCCATGGTGTCTAGCAGTAATAGTACGAGTAACTATATGAGGAATTGGAATAGAAACTATTGCGGCCTACTTCAGAACAAAACAGGGGGAAATGGCAGTGTTGATAAAGAGAAAAGAAGACTGATGTAGAGAAAGAAATAGTAGACGTGTGTGAAGTAAACCAGATGAAGTGCCACAAGTTGATATGATTGACTCTGACCTTGGTGCTGATTTTCAGATTGTCCTTTTTTTTAATACTAAACATCCCTGCGACACTTCACCATCAACCTTGGACTAAAGAAACAAAAATGAGAACACAAATACTAGTAAAATGTCTCACAAAACATCTTCTCACCTCTCAAGTAAATGCAATCATTATACATGTATACTCTCTCTCTCTAGATAGAAATCCTGACAACTTACAAGATCTGATGCACAACAATTACGAATCAGATAAAAGAGTTGACTATGTTATGATACTATGATAGTCACTGCATGCTTCTGTTCCCTTCGATAGTAACATCTGGCTTGCTCATGGGGTCATTCCGTTCAGTTTTGTGTCTTCTGTAGGAAGAAAAAACAGGATTTCTTTATTGCCTTTTATTACATCTTACAGAAACAAGATTTCTCCCATTATAGCTGCCTGGAATATACCAATTCTAATGCATGGAGTTTTGAAAATTGCCAACATGGCAACATACTGCCCTGGGTAAATAAATAAAAATGAAAAAAAAAATCAAATAAAAATGAAAGCCCCTCCCACTTCTTTCAAGACATAGAATTGACAATATTTCTATTTATTTATTTCAGCTGGGTCACAGAGTGAGAGTGGACAGGGGAAACGGGACATTTTTCATAAGTCCGGCTTCTACAATCGGGGGCCAAACAAACTCTGGCCGGCCGGAGTACCCCTAAGCTAACCCGAATGAGTATGGTCAAGATGCTATCTGTTAGTTACCTTATTGACGATTCATTGGTGGTGCTGCCGAAATTCAGGACCTCCCCACGAAGAAGAATGGTTGATTCCACTACATCAATGGGTTCATTCCTGCACAACTATGGGATTGAACAATATGAAAAAAAAAATCAACTAAAGGTGAAATTGCATCTGGAATTAGTCGTGAAATTATTTCAGAAATGTATCCTATAGCATTATTGACAGATATACATGTACCCACTAAAACTACTTGAAATTTGCCATAAGCTAAGAGTTTCTTATCTATCTAATATCTATCTATAAATCAGTCAAATTTTGTACAAGACTGAATTTTTGCTATCGAATAATTGTCTGAGTGTGTGGGTGGGCCTACGTCAAAAAAATTAATAAACATCCAATCAACTCATAGCACATTAACACAAGATGAGATTAAAAGAAAAGAGTAAAAAAACTGCATCTTGTTTCATCATGCCATAAGCAGTTCTTAGGCCACACCAATTTTATTTGTTGGTTCTCGGATTCGCCTCTTCGTTTTTTTCTGAACTAAAAAAAAGGATTCTGGTGCTGAATCAGCTCAAAAATGCTTATATTTTGCCCCCAACCATTGACGAAAGTCCCTTTCTTCCTAGTTGTTACAGTTTTTCCATCTATCAATGCAGTGGTTTGATTAAAAGTTCAAAATTCATTGTTTGAATATTAACCCAGCCTTTTGTGTTGACTTCATGGCTCCTATCGTAGCATTTGAGGCTATAATACAATGCCTAGATCTGTTTTATTTTTTTCCGGGAACCAACAAATTAAATTGGTGTGGCCTTAATCTACTTATTAGTCTACCAGCTGGGAGCAGCACACCTCACCCAGAGCCGACTTCAGGGTTCTAGCCAGCGGCCGTTTTCCCGTCATTTGACAGAATTTTGCCGCGACTCACTGTCTGCAGAAAGCCGAGTTTCTCCTGACCAGAAATTTTGCTAGGAACAGAGTCCAAGACAGCTGGATCAAGTATAGTCCAGTATGTACTTAGCAGTTTTCAAGGCTTCACCTAACGGTAAGTGTTGTTGCAATTGAGTCATGAACTACATTTCCAGCCAGCCTTCGTAACTCCTGCTTCTCCTAGTGTCTCCAGCATTGATGTTTCTGACTTAGGCCACACCGATTTAATTTATGGATGACATCCTCTGAAGACCCCCAAACTAGTGCGCGCGGGCGAAAAAAGAAAAATCCGGCCAAAGATAAAAATGCTACAAAAACCACGAGGAATTACAAACCTGGTATTGTGAATTTGGCGCATTACATAGCGACGTATACGACAGGCCGACACATGCTGGATTTTTGCGGAATATATGAATCGACACTGCTGTACGTATGTACTGAGTTCTTGAGTCTTGGAGCTTCGGTAGCCTGGCTGCCGTCAACCAGAGTTATCACCACCATGCACTACCCAGGCCTAAAGCCAGGCCAGAGCCTCGGAATACGTGATCTTTTTTTTTTTTTGAGATCGGGCGAAAATCAATGCGCGCGTGGATGTCATCCATAAAATTAAATCGGTGTGGCCTTACATGTAGACAAAGACATGCTGTTCCAGACACCAGTGTGCTTAGTTTAGTGCCTAGAAGTGTTCTCTTTAATAATAATAGAATTTGCAGTGAGCAAAACCTCCTTGCTAGTAAGAAATACCCAATGGCTAAAAAGATGTGTGGATAAGAGGCAGTGGTTGAAATACTTTTTTTCAGTACTCTGCAATATTGCAGAAGAGTCAAAATTTTGTTCTGCAATTTGGAAATACTTTCTGCAAATACACAAGCCTACATATTACAACCTTTCTGCAAATACACAAGCCTCCATACTACAACCTTCTCAAAACAGTAATTCCTTTTTACATCATATATAGCTTTGTAAATCTGTACAGTAGCATTACTAGACTGCAGGAGAATTTCAGGTTTATAAGCATGAACTATGGATTGATATGCAAATTAGTGAAGACAATATTTTGGAAGTCCAAAAGGAACAAAAGTTAGACAAGTCAAGACAAGGATGATGCAAATTAGTGAAGAAGCTCCTGTTGTTTCAGAACAGTCTGTCCCTGGGGCCTGGAAGTTTTAGTTTGCTAAATTGAAAGCTAATGAATCTGGAGCCTATTTTTCCTTCTGCAAAATTGCAGATTGTATAATTTTTTCTTCTGCAATCTTGAATATCTATCTGCAGATTGCAGACTGCAGGCAGGTATTTCGAACACTGAGAGGTAAAAGTGTCATATATAGCTATGGCCTTTAAGGCTAAAGGGGCGGTAGGTTTCTAATTGCTGTGTTTTGGGCACAGAAGGCAGAACTCCCTACTAGTAGTTTACTTCTACTGCAAAACTGCAGCCAAGTATCTATTAAATAATCGTGTGGTGAAACGGTAGCGTGTTCGGCTCACACCTGTAAGAGGTCAAGGGTTCGAATCCTGCCCAATGCCACCAATCTTGTGCTCTTGGGAAATGCACTTTACACGACTTTACTCATGTGTAAGAGAGATGTACTGTACCTAGCTTCAATTAGGGACATCCCTCGGATAGGACTTAAAATGTTTGGGAGAGCCACACCCCACGCACGTTAAAGAAGCCAACGCACTTATCACAACACAACACAATGTGCAAATAGAATGGAAACATTTGCTTTGCAACGCAACATTAATGCATAATGTTTACCTTCACATTATGGCCTGCTTCGTGAATTCTTAGTCAAACACATTCACATTATATACAGTGACAACCCATACGTCCTTAAGATGAATAAATAAATAAATAAATAAATAAATAAGTGACAGGAGTCTAAATCCCTCCTGCTATAAAATTGCAACATGATGTAACCTAACACCAGTTACCATGGTGACAGATGTCTGATTCAAGTCATTGACCTTATTTGTTTGGAGAAGAACATTAAAGAGGAAACAGAGCAAAAACGAATATGTTTTCCTTCAGCAAGTAAATACTGTCCATTTGTAGCAAAAAAAATTGTACATCTCATTCTCATTCTGCCAATAGAGTCGACAATATAGGCGCAATGAATCAGTCCATCAGAGAAGAGAACAATCCAGTATATCATACAAACCATCCAGAGGAGCCAACAAGCCCAGAGCAAAATGAAGAAAACCTACGCACTGATCAGAATGTCCTGTACACGGCTGGAGAGGAAGTTAAACATACAAGTTGTGCAAGTCAGCCCGACGTCCCCACCCCAGAAGACACTCTTGTATATTCTGTATCTGACACGACCAAAGCTGAAAACTCTGCCGTGTACACTGACTCAGGGGATAATGAAGAAGATGCTAACGCTATAATTGAAAACATGGACGGAGAATTTGAACCTACAGTCATGCAGGAAGAAAGTGCAGTGGCTGACGATATTGACAATTTATTGGAACCTTACGCTGTTGCAAACATATCCGATCACGAAAACTATCTCATGAACACCACAACGGCTTGTTATACCAGGCCTCGAGGTCCCCACCGCAAAGAATTTTCGAACCCGATGTACGGAGAAAACATCTGCCAACAGGCTAGTCATGATGCCAATGTACAAGTACATGTACACGACCTTCGCAATCCTACAAATGCAGAGGAACATCAAAAACCGGTGAACAGACCGGATCCCCAGCAGGCTTCAGATGACACCAGGCCTGACTCTGATGCACACAAGATTCACAATCCTCCAAACGTTAAGGAACGTCACGGTAAGGGGGTTTACGGAAGAACCTAGGTGCCTGCCAGGCCTGGCTACCTTGCCTGGCTAGCATGACAGGCTACTCTGATCTTCTCATTCATACCATGACGAAAGCTAAGACATCCAAGCACCTGCGCCCTCTAACTGAATGCATGGAAACTACACCCCCATTACACTGGTACATTTTGGGTCAAAATTACACACAGCAAGATATCTAAAAGGGAGAGCAGAAATAAACTGATCTACATGTAATTATTTGTTCGAAGTTTTAATTAGCAAAGGGTAATAACAAAAGTAACAGTAACATGGGAACGAATCTCGCAGTTACTAGGAGCACACAGGGGCCTAAGTGTGTTCCTTGCATCAGAACAGAGTGTGACCACACAGCTGTTGGTAGCCTAAAAAATACCATCTTACCATCTTTCCCTGCAGTACCAGTGTAAAGAGAATTTCCATGCATTTCACTAGAGGGCGCAGCTACTTCGATGTCTCATCTGAGTAGCCTGACGTGCTAGCCAGGCCAGGTAGAGAGGCCTGGCAGGCACTCTAGTTTTTCCGTAAACCCATGGTAAGGTGACGGACTGAGGTGACTAGTTTTGTTTTATGACTTGAGTGTTAAGATGTAGATCCATACATTTTTAAGTAACTGTTGTCACAATCAAATATTGTCTGCTGGTTCTTTTATTTCCTGGTTACTCGTTTATTGCGTCTGTGCCTTGCATATCTGAAACACAATTTTACAAATTTGTTCTGGAAAGGCTGTTATGCAGTGGTGAATAAAAGCTTTCCGGCTGCTTTGGTGCTTGTCCTATTCTTAACTGGGATGACAGTATATGGAATCATCACAGGAGCCTATTATTACCATACACAGGTAATGCAAAAGGTAAGGTCAACATCTCGTCAGAGCTCAAATCAACAGTTTGAGTTTTACATAGTAAATATTGTTTCATTTATTCATTACTCCCATTAGCCACCCGATATATATATGAGTACCAACCTAAGAAGCAAAACTTTTTTGCAGGGCTCGAAATTCATATTCGGGAGTGGGTACACTGGTGCACAGTGGTGCACCTAACCTAAAAATGTTACTACATGCACTGGACAAAGTTTAGATGCACAATTACTAGTATTAGTAACATAAAATGAGGTGGAATGTCAGCAAAACCTAAATATGAACTAGCTTTTAAATTACTGCCTTTCCTAGCAACTTAGCTTCTCTAACTGACTTCAAAATTTCAAATAAGTGATGTACTTATTATTAGTTGATGTATTTTTCCTGACCAGTATGAATTATGTCAAGTATATGCCGTATCCTAAGTGTACAAAAGGCACATCAAAGGTTCTCACTTTATCACACACTTTCCCTGGTGCTGAACTACAATCACACACTGTCCCTGGTGCTGAACTACCACCACACACTGTCCCTGGTGCTGAACTACCATCACACACTGTAACTGGTGCTGAACTACCATCACACACTGTCCCTGGTGCTGAACTACCACCACACACTGTCTCTGGTGCTGAACTACCATCACACACTGTCCCTGGTGCTGAACTACCATCACACACTGTCTCTGGTGCTGAACTACCATCACACACTGTCCCTGGTGCTGAACTACCATCACACACTGTCCCTGGTGCTGAACTACCATCACACACTGTCCCTGGTGCTGAACTACCATCACACACTGTCCCTGGTGCTGAACTACCATCACACACTGTCCCTGGTGCTGAACTACCATCACACACTGTCTCTGGTGCTGAACTACCATCACACACTGTCCCTGGTGCTGAACTACCATCACACACTGTCCCTGGTGCTGAACTACCATCAGATACTGTCCCTGGTACTGAACTACCACCACACACTGTCCCTGGTGCTGAACTACCATCTGGTGCTGAACTACCATCACACACTGTCCCTGGTGCTGAACTACCATCACACACTGTCCCTGGTGCTGAACTACCATCACACACTGTCCCTGGTGCTGAACTACCATCACACACTGTCCCTGGTACTGAACTACCATCACACACTGTCCCTGGTACCGAGCTACCATCACACACTGTCCTGACAGTAATTTTACATTTCTTCCTGTTCCTGTTTTTTCCAGGCTAGTCCTATGCAAGAAGGCATCAACTTGACCACATTGAATGAAACAGAAGTGGCAAGCACAACTAAATACACTGTAGCTATCATCCAAAACACTGATGGTACCAACCCAAAAATTCTTGAGAGTATCAATGGTACCAAGCTACCCACCCATGGGGGCATCAATGGTACTAACCCACCCACCCTTGGTACTATCGATGGTACCAACCCACCCATCCTTGAAACTGTCAATGGTACCAACCCACCCACCCTTGGTACTATTGATGGTACCAACCCACCCATCCTTGAAACTATCGATGATACTAACCCACCCATCCTTGAAACTGTCAATGGTACCAACCCACCCATCCTTGGTACTATCGATGGTACCAACCCACCCATCCCTTGGGTTATTGATAGCACCAACCCACCCAACTACAAAATAAGTAAGTACACAAGTAATATTAACATACACATATTGTCTCCTATTAAGGTATTATTGAAATTTTGACTATACTATCAACCTTATCAAAATTTTCGATACAACAATGCTATCACTCAAACTAAAGAAAACGGATCTTTAAGCAGCAAAAGATGGAAAACAACACTGTTTTTTCCATGAATATACCATGGTTGGTAGATCTACGGTCTAAGCCAAACCCATACCAATTTAATCATTTGGTTCTTAGAATTGCTCCATTCTGCTTTTCTTGGAATTGCTCTCTTCTATTTTTCTCAAAGTGATTTAAAAAATAGATCACTGAGCTTCCATTTTCAGTATAATTTGCAATCTCCATATTCTACTGATTTTCATTACAAGGCTTTTTTATTTTTAACTGATGGAAAATATTTAAGTTGCTTGATGTGCTTCCTACAATTGTGTAGTACTACATTTTATCCAGATTGTTTATTATCATTTCATACTGGGTACTGGTATATTACACGACAAATCTAGTTTTTCTTTGTACATTTTGAAATTAAAAAAAATGCTTGGCGCAGCATCTATAATACTAATGATAGTAAGGATGAGGTTGGTTCTGAAAATGTTTTTTTTTTTTAATTTGCTTTTTTTTCACTGGACAGTTGCTTTGTAGTTTTTCAGAGAAAATGAAAGAACTAACTTGGATTGGTGTGGCCTAAAGGTAAGATGCTATCACTGATACAGATAAAAAATGCGAGGAGAGTACCATGTGGCTGGCTTGTGCAGCGGGCGAGTTGATCGTGATTGACGACGCCTTCTACGGTCGGAGGGAGAAAGATCCTCGCTGTGGATGTAGATGGTTCCGGAGATGTGACACCAACTGTAAACAGAAAAACGACAAGTAGGAGCACCATTCCTAATCCAATCCCATCCTCTGAAAGATCAGTCCTCTAGATGCTCGATTGCAACTACAATTCTAAAAAAATGACCAACACAAAAGGTCTAATTTAATGACGTGGGGACCCCCCACAAGGCCCTTTTCCAAACTTGACCTTGGTATTTTCAACGGTAACTTGCCAACTAAAAATCATGAACATCCATTTAAGGATTCTCAAGTTATCTTGTTAACAAGGAAAAAGTCAAACACAAATGGTAACTGCAGTGATGTAGGAACTTCCCACGAAGTACATTTTTGGCCTTGACAATGGCCATCCCAAAGACAACCTGCCTAAAATTCGTGAACCTCGGACCATTCCTTCAAGATTTATCGTTCATTATCTGCCAAACAGTGCCGAAACGATTTCACAGCCTTCTCGTCGAAGGCAATAACAACTGGTCTTCATTTATTTCAGAGTTTGAGCTTGCGATTTTTATTCTTACCAAACTAGGTTCATGCATATCATGGTTCCAACAGAAACTAGATCTGCTTGCTTCCCACAATTTTCTAAATATGTGACTCCTTTATTCCCATACTTTTCTGTAATTGTGGAATACGGTACAAGTGTTTGTGTAATACATAGACTAGAAGCACATGAAACATGTATGTGCAAACACACACTAGTGATAAGATACAGTAACTTTCTTATACTCTTTTTATTACAATTAAAGTGCAACAGACATTTGTACTGTAAGTTATAGTTGAGGTAGTTGAGATGTATCGTAACTTTTGCAGGGAATTATTGTGAAAGACCTGCAGATTTTTAGTATTATTTTGTACATACACCTATCTGATTTTTACATTTAATATTTCACCTTTTAAAAGTGTCAATTGGATTTTTAAAAAATTAGCTTTCCCTTACAAATATTGACAGTTTTAATGTACTGTAATTCACTTTATGTTCACGGTAGCAAAATTTCATGATCTGAGAAAAATGGACATGTTTACGGAACTACATATTCACAGGTGCGGGAAAGTCCAGGAATTACTTGTTAACTGTAATGATAAGTTCAGAAGTGACAGTGAAAACTAGTGATATAAAGTACAGTGAAAAAATCAGGAATTACAGTACTTGACCTTGATCTTGTATTTGTTCTCACGCAGGACCCAGTCCACTGTAAGACAAAAATGCCAGGGCTACAAACATTGTAAGGTGACAATACCGGTAATTATAAAGCACATTGTTGACCCCTGTCCACACAACAAGAAATACCTGGAGGTAACTTATCACTGTACAGGTGGGCACAACAAAGTATTTTCTCTTCTTATGGAAGCAAAATTAATGTGTGCCTATAGTTATAGGTACAGTAGTAAGGCCACAGCAAGTAGATTTTATGGATGAGATCCTCAGTCTGCAGACACCAAATCTAATGCGAGTGCGGAAAAAAAAACAAGGCAGGCCGAAAAAAACAAGGTTCCTACATTCTAAAATTTTGATTCAATCATTGTTCAAATGGTTTTTAATCAGTGGGAACATCACATATACACAGCCAGCTTCACATATCACTGCATCAAAGAAAGAAACAAAACATTAAATCAGAGCTTTTTCTTGTCTCCTCTTTAAAGTTATCTGCCATCCACCTTCCGGGATGGCAACAGATACCTTTGCCAATTTTCGGCATGTTGACCACTGTCATAGGGAAACAAAATTTCTGTTTTTTTTTCCAAAATCAGGCGAAAATTACTGCGCGCACTGATGTCATCCACAAAAATTACTTGCTGTGGCCTAAGACACCAAACCTGGACCTAAACACCTTTTTTAGCCAATTATCAGTGTCAGTTTTTATTGTCTGATGTCTTTATTTAGTGGTATATTGTTGGTCTTGCTTTAGTTTTTATGAGGATCTTTAGTCTAAAAAATGGTGCCCACTTCACTAAGTGTTTTACTATTGTTTTACAAGCAGGAAATAATGACAGGGTCAAATTTGGTGGGGCCGGAAACGGACCCGGCAAGTTCAGACCGCGGGAGGAGTGGCCGTGTCCTCGACTAACGAGATATTTGTGACTGACGAGGGCAACAGACGAATCCAAGTCTTCAGCATGACGGGAGTTTTCCTTCGCAGTTTTTCCACGGGAAACTTAAAACCACATGCCATATCCACCGGCCGAAGCGATACCCTGTGGGTAGCTTTGTACGCAGGTCATTTGATAAATGCTTTTACTGGACATACCGTCCGTCAGTATAGCAAAGAGGGCCATGTCCTTTCTAAGTGTACTTTCAGCAGTGGACTTGGAATCTCTGGGCTTGCCTGGAACAAAATTTCTGACAGAATCATACTAACAATAGCAGTACATGCAACTCAATATTTAACAAGTATTCCAAGATACAGGCGCATGGAGGCCGTGTGGTTTAGACCTACTTACACACCGACACAGGTGCCAAAATTGAGCAAGTTTGGGTCAACTGCAGGAGTTCAAGACTCTTGGCAGTCTATTGCCATGGATGAGAAAGGAAACGTCTTCATCACTCACAAGCCAAGCATGACTGTTCAAAAGTACGACAAGAACGGAGTCTACCTTTCCAGTTTTGACAGTAAAGCAGGAGATTGGTTCACGCCCTGGGGAATCTCTCTGGACAAATCTGGCCATGTAATTGTGGGTGATGTTTGGAACAGCAAATTAGAGATGTTCACAGCTGAGGGAAAACACATCCGCACTGTCGCTTACGTGCGGAACCCTTACCGTTTAGCTACAGGTGGGGAGGGGCAGATTGTTGTGTCAAATGAGGGTTACTTTGTATCCATCTTGCGCAAATATTAGGGCCACACCAATGCCTTTGCTTGGATCTCAGACATTTTTAAGTTAAGATTCAGCAAGAGGACAAGATAAAAAGGACTCCATTCACTCCTGAAACATTTTTTGTCTGTGGGTGCACCCAAATATTTTTGTAGGTATTTTGTACATATCAAATGTATAATAGTATGCAGGATATTCTTGGCATACAAGTGTCAGAAAAATAACAAAAAGTCTTTGTTGTAAATTAGCTCCAATTTTAGATTCAAGTTTTAGTAAGATCTGTAATTAGTTTTTCATTCATATGGTGCACCCCAAAATTTTTTTGTGCACCTTATATTTTAGGTTGGGTGCACCAGTGCACCTATTCCCAAAAATGAATTTCAAGCCCTGAATAGAGTGACTGAAAATCTAAAATGAGAATCAGTAGTAGACATTAACCTTGACTTATTATCAAAGCACTGTACCAAACTTTCATGTAAATGGCCAAACCTGAATCACCATTTCACTCCCGTGGAGAAACCTCTCCCTTGACTGACTCCATTCTCTTCTGAGTCTGGCAGTTCTTGTCCATGCAGGGCCCAGATGTTGTACTAGAGTCCCTCCATATCGTACAGGGTTGCCTCTTGCACACAGGCGTGAAGTTTGCGACGTCATGGTGTTTATTAAGTCTAAACCAATTGTTCACAAGTATGTATCCTTCCCTTCCAGACCCTCTAGATACCTCAGATCGCACATGCTTACCCCCATTAGAGTAAGGACATCAGCCTTCAGCTCTTCTTACAATATTACCAAGGCTGGTCACCATCTGGAATCAGCTGAGTCCTGTCCTCCGTAATATTGGGGTTCAAGCCTCTGAAATGTCCAACATCTTGACATTCAAGCGATCGCTTGTGAGAGCCACGTTTATGAGATTTGACACCCAGTTCAATATCGACGTTCCCTGCTCCTGGTCCACATCTTGTGGGTGTGCCTCATGCACTGCTTTAAGGCCGCATTAGTATCATAATTAGCTTTTTAATCTGTACATAATGACATTTGATAATTTTTGTACATAATCAATTCTCTGTATAACTTTTACCGAATTGTATATTTCATGTCTACTGATTTTTGATGTCTTATGCCTAATGTTTATTGTTTGACTTGGTTCCGTATTGTTTTGTATTATCATTTCAGGTTTGGGAGGACAACTTGTAAAGGCATTGATACACCTGTTTTGTCCTCCCTTCCACTTGTTTTTGCATGTGGTAAATTCAAATAAAGAAATAAATAAAGAAAGAAATATAGTACCCTCCACTCCCTCTTAAGCCCAGGTGTCCACCCAGTTGTGACTCTGAATCACCTGCTAGAGTAGAATGATCCATGAGTCACTGGTACTGTGTTGTATAACCAAGTAATAAATTTTTTTAGTAGTATTTCTAATTCTCAAGTTCATTCAACATTCTACATAGGATCACAACAACTGAGGGACTGTATATATCAAGCACTGTGAGTACTAAATAAATTTACAAAGCCTCACTGACTACACAATTCATCACAGTGACTATACCATGAAATGACAATCAACCATTCAATGACAATGGCAGCAACAACATGACTACATAACGTATAAAGTATGGGGGCAAAGCGCGCGATGTTGTGTAGCATATAGGTTTATTTTATTTTATTATGGGTTCACCACACCACGAAGTGGTGTGGTGAAACCATATTGCTTTTTCTGATGTTTCTTCTTCTTCTTCTCCTCCTCCTCCTTCTCCTCCTGCCATATCTTTAAATGGATTCAGCTTCTTCATTTTAGGGCCTAAGGTCCTGAAATTTGGTATGGAGGTACAGTGGGCAAATACCCCTAGGCGTTTTTTAAATTATTGTGATACAGGCTTTTAGAATGGTTTTATTTGAGTTTTTTGGCTGTGTAATAGCTAATGTATTACTGTGTAAGTGTGCAGTGTTTACCACATTTGGACATGAGTCATCACAATGGCATGCAAGGCATCAACCAATAGGCATGCAGCTTTCCTCTATTCTCCTTGCTGATTGGCTGTTGGGATTTAACTGGCTTAACTTCATTTACACCTGCACAGAGCCATGCCATACTGACAGTATGTCTGTATTCAAGTGTTTTGGTAGGTATTTTAAGCTTTCCTGCTCCAGCATTGGAATGCGGGCTATGAACGCTTCTTTTTATCTTGAAAATCAACAGTTTGCATTATGCAATCCTAACCAATAATGTAGGGAATAGCTATCCAACTGTTGTAGTCTTAGTTGTATGTTACTTCATACTATAGTTATATCAATGTAAAGCATTGTTTTCCCTTGTGTTTCTCATTCTTTCCCTGCCATGTGGTAAAATGTGGTGAACCCATCGCTATATTTGCTCCAAAGCAAATATTGGCCTTTCTAGTTCACATTTATTTTTTGAGGATCGGGCAGCAAGTTGAAAACTTATATAAGCCCTCTCCTCACACATAAAGGGAACAGAGTAGTAACAGTAATAGGAACAGACATAAAGAGCTGGTGTACAAATCATAATCAAATAAATCAAGCAAAACGTCCTGTCTGCAAAATAAAGTTGAAAACCACATCAAATATTTTACAATTGTTGGCAAATGACAATGAGGGGTTACCCCTGAGAACAGTTGAACATAAGGTGCTGTCGGTGGTGTTATTTATGTCAAATGGCAGGATGTAAGTTAAAGATGTTATCATGATTACGTTCGTCATTATACAGTGGGCAGTGTAAGAAGTAGTGTACAGCTGTTTCGTTGGAGTGACCACATTTACACGCAGGACTGGGCACACATTGATGTTGGAACAGGTGAAAGTTTAACTGACTGCGGTTGAGTCTAAGTCTGGTAAGGCGAATAGCTGGGTTTCTCGGACCATGGGAGAAGTGAGGTTGAGTGCGAGGACTGTGATAAGTCTCCAACTCTTTTTTAAAGATGGCAATCGATGTAGATGCTCGTGTAGTTAACGGCAGGTTGTTCCAGGAAGCAATGGAAGTAGGCAGAAAAGATTTTTTGAATTTCTCAGTTCTAGCAGGAATTAAGACGTAATTCTGATCTGTACGGAGACTGTATGGGGTGGAGTCACCGGTTTGTAGTGGTACCAATTCTTGTAAGTATTTTGGTGCTAATTCATTGATGATTTTGTAAAAGTTTACAAGTTTGTGCTTTTGACGTCTACATGACATTGTTTCCCAGCCAACCTCGGACAAAATGCTGTTACTATTTGTTCCTCTCATTGCGCCAGTACATATCCGAGCTGCATTGAGTTGAACAGATTCAATTAAGTCAGAGTCTTTATCAGTTAATCCTTCCCAAACAACGTCGGCATACTCCAGTAATGGCCTTATCATTACCTTATATAAAGTTCCTAGAGTTTT